GATACAATGCTGCATGTCCCCAGGTAGTGAGGAAAGGGCTGGCTCAGGCTCAAACCAAGCCAGCCACGGAGGATCTTGACAAAGTTTTTAAAATGTTTTCCCCGGGCCAGTTTTTGAAAACCCTCAAGGCTTGAGAAATCTCATTAATAGCTGAAAAGAAGATAAAATGAAACCAGCCCCCATTCGAGGGGCTGATGTCATCCATCTCCCCAGAGAAAAGGCTACACTTTCCTTTGTGAGAGTCCAGGGTGACATCACCTCCTGATCACAAGCCACTTAGCCCTCCCCCTGCTATTCCCAGCTGAGGGGCTCTCTTCCTTTGCAAATGTCACTCTTTCTCTCACAAAGCTCCTTGACCTTGTTTGTATGTGGGATTCCATTGCCAAGTGAAAGCAGCAGGCCTCTGGGAGAAAGGAGCAGAGCAGAGAGGGTGTGCACAGCTGGCGGGAGGCCCCTATTCACACAGCTCGCAGAAAGCTCTAGATTGCCTTCAGCCACCCGGGCGGAGACCCCCGCCTGAATTCAGCCCCTGGACAATGCCGTCAGCAGTTGAGCCAGGCAGGGCACTGTGGCCATTTCTTTCTTTGCAGGGTGGGACTCCCTTTGAGGGCTCGAATAAAGGCAAAGCAGTGTGCTTTCATCTCGGGTCTACAGCGCCACTTTAGAAATGAGCCCACAAATAAAGCCCGATTGTAGATCCGTTTTCTCAAAGCAAATAGGTTTGTGCAGCCAACAAAGAAGCACATTCTGCAAACAGGGTTATTTATTAATTGGCGCCATGAAGCATGCGGGGCTTCTTCCTCAGCAGCGAGGCTCGGAAATGACGCGTCAGGCTGGGTGTCCTGGGCCCCGGCATGGGAACCTGATGCTGAGAGTGAGACTTAGAGAGGTGATGCAGAAACGATCGCTTTCATTACACACACAAGCGCACACTCAAGAGCACTACTGTCACCGTTCTTAAACGGAAATCTCATTTTCTGATTATAAAAGTAACATAGACTTATTATAAAAGTTCAGTCACTTCAAATCTGTAGCAGTAATTTCGTTCTCCAGTTTTAAAGAAGTGTTATATTACACTTGAAAATCAAGACTAATTTTTACAGTTACTTTGCATCTGTTTGCTTTGTATTTTATTTCATATTCCGAATCCCAGGACATGCCATGTTACTTCAGTCCTTCAAGATCCCACTCAAAACTTGGTTATTTGAAATCTGACAGACTTACATAAAAGAGACCATGGGGCCCCTCTGCCTGCCATGGGTGACCCTAATGCTCTGGCCGCCACTTAGCTCAGTACTGCTCCCCTTGACTCTGACTCCAGCCACTCTGGACTTCGGGGTCCCTCACACTCACTCTTCACGCTCCATTCACAGGGTCTTCCTTCTACTTGGAATCTTTTCCTTCTATTTGTCTAGATGAGGCCTGCTTACTCTTAGATTTTCATACAAGTCTTCTCTGACCTCTTGTTGATGTCAAATCCCCTTTTGTGGGCTCCCTGGCACTTAGCGTTTATATGTATTTGTGTGCCTCTTGCTTGATGGCTACCTCTCCCAATCACTGTAAGCGCTAGGAGAGTGGGAGCAGGCCTGCTGGTCACAGCCACACCCTGTCCCCAGCTCTTACACAGCACATGGCCCTCATAGTTCCTTAACATCTGTGGAATGAAGACACGGATAACTGAGAAATCAGATTTATGTCTTCCGTTTACCTCCAGTGGGTAGGAAGCAGGGGAATGTGCCCATTGAAACCTCTTTGTTGATTCTGAGCTATTCTTTGGCCCCTCATCTCAGGCCACATCTCAGGCTGCAGACCTGGTTCAGATGCTGAGTGTGGACTCGGGGTACTTGTGCCGTTGCATAACCATCATACACGACGATTTCATTAACTCTTCACTGAGCTAGACCACTAACCATCCCCTTCCAGAAGGTCTTTCCCATTCATAATTTACAAACAGTGGGCAACACAGAGTTAAATTTTTTTTTTTTTTAGTTCTGGTCCCAGCTGGCAAAAATTTTGTTGCATAACTCTAGATCCAAGCTTCGCAAGTTTTCAGCAATTGGGAGAAAGTTTTGAAATAGTAAACAGGAAAAGACAATAGACAGAGGGTGTCTCTGACTCCTCCTAGGAAGACAGATTTCAAATGGAGCTGATAGAAAAAAAATTCCCCAACAGAAATGCTGTCAGCAGAGGAGACATCCACCTCTAGCATGTTGGCGGGAAGAACCCAGGGACACAGTAACTGGTACAGTTAATAATGACCATTAAATCATGCCCCTCAGGTGGCCTTGGGCTAGCATGGATAGAACAGCCTGGACGGGAGGGGAAGCAGCCCACGGAGGAGAAAGACATGACCGGCAAAGTCACTGCTCCTAAAACTCTCCTTCCGGAATTACTGAGGGAGTTGTTGTTTTTTTAAGTCAAGGTCCCACTACAGAACAATTGAATCCTCTCTCTGGAAACTGAACCCAGGCATGGAACTCTTTAGAAACTAAGGTTCTTTTTCTTACAGGAGTGCCCACTCTTATCCTATTGACATAGAAAAATTGAAGATATTATTCTGCTGCTAGTACAGTGAGTCCAGGGAGCACCCCGAAGTTTTCTCTAGACTCAATGGATGCTGTCTTTCTATCATTTAATTTCTCCAGCCTTAACATCTGCTCTTACCTGCTTCTCAAAGTGTGCTCTACAGAATAACACCACAGGCGTTACCTGGGACCTTTTTATAAATGAGGGATTATGGGCCTTACGTCAGCGCCACCCCCACCCCAGCCCTGCACCAGAATCTGCATTTGAACAAGTGATTCATGTGTATAAAAGCCTGAGAATCGCTGCCTGGAAAATAACACTTGTCCTTGAAGATCTGGGTCATTTCCCAAGATTTTCATTTCTTCTAGGTCTTTTCACACTGTTTCCAGTTTCCTTAGAATCACACCATTTCTAAGTCACAGAATAATAGTAGAGACAAACTGCATTATACAGATGAATCAATCCAGCCCCTTCATTTAACAGATCCACAAACTGTCATTCCAAGGTTAAATTGACCTGCTTGCTGAAGAGGACGGTCAAGAACTTCTACAAGCTTAATCATTATAGTTCATTTACTTTGGGAATTCATTATAGTTCATTTCAAGCTATAAGGGGCTTATATTCTATGGATAACCACTGAATAGTTTTAAACACTGAAAATCCCATCCTTATTTTTTAACAGAAATATACTCAGTCTCCAGTTTATAGTCTCCAGATGTCTAACACTCTTAAATATATAACAGGACTATTCAGTTATATATAGCATGAGATTCATATAATAAATGCACTATGATGTTAACCCTCAAGAGTCAACCATGACACACATTCAGGCCCTCGCCGTGGGCTCACCCTTGGTTTTGACAGTGTGGCCATAGCTTGGATGTCTGTGTGTGGTTCCTGGTATAACACTGCAACTCCTCTTCTCTTTCAAATTGGTTGAAACAGACCAGTGAGTCCTGAACGGTGGTTGAGAACTGCTACTATAATTTTCACAAGGACTGTAATTTTCAAGTCTGGATCACAGTAGGAGGGTGGTTCTCAAACATTAATCACCAGGGAGACCAGTTAAGAGAGATTATTGGGCCTCCTGTTTGTGATTTTGAAAGTCTGGGATGGGGCCTGAGAATTTGCATTTCTAACAAGTTCCAGGTGACTCTGCTGCTGCTTTTGGGAGTAGGTTTAAAGAATCACTCCCTTTAGACTGGGCCACATGAGGTCAGTCTAGAACAGTGGTTCTCAATATGTGGGTCGCGACCCCTTTAGGGGTCAAATGACCCTTTCACAGGGGTCGCCTAAGACCATCGGAAAACACACATATAATTACATATTGTTTTTGTGATTAATCCCTATGCTTTAATTATGTTCAATTTGTAACAATGAAAATACATCCTGCATATCAGATATTTACATTATGATTCATAACGGTAGCGAAATCACAGTTATGAAGTAGTAACGAAAATAATTTTATGGTTGGGGGTCACCATAACATGAGGAACTGTATTAAAGGGTCACGGCATTAGGAAGGTTGAGAACCACTGGTTTAGAAGTTTCAGGACTACTATTAAAATTGAATTTTCAGGTGGTGGACACACGGTGCAATATACAGGTCTTGTAACATAGAAACTCACACCTGAAACCTATATGTTCATATTGACCAATGTCACACTAATCAATTTAATAAATAAATATTTTTAAATGAATTTTCATCTTCAGAAAAATGAAAAGTTTTTTTAATATTTATTTATTGATTTTTCTTTTTTAGGGAGAAAGGGAGAGGGAAACATCGATTTGTTGTTCGAATTATTTATGCATTCCTTGGTTGATTCTGGCATGTGACCCTGACTGGATTGAACCCAAACCTTGGCATATTGTGACAATGCTCTAACCATCTGAGTGACCCTACCTGCTTCCTGAACCACCAGTTCGTTGATGTGCCCCTACCTATGTGGCAGGCACAACACACATTCCTGGCTTGGGGCATCACTAGTTCTCCTCCTGCTTCCCTGGCAGTGCAATCCTTGCTCCTCCCTTTCTCTCTCTAATTGACTCCTTTTTTCTTCTAACCCATCATTCCTTCTCTCCTTATGTCAGGGTAAGCCTTACATCTCATTCTATTCCACTCTTCCTAGGAGGCCCCACCCTACCTTGCAATTTCCTTGCCACACCCGCATACAGGTCTTCACTCTTAGAAACTTCATTCTGCTCCTTTCTTTCTCTTAAGCAATGTATGACTGCACCTACCTAAGCAGTTATCCAAATCCTGTCCACTTTGACTGCACTTCCTCTCTTAGCCCTAACTGGCTTTAACTCTCCAAGAGCCAACAATGACTGAGTAACATTTTCTAAGGCCCAGCACAAGATTACTACTCAGTTTAATTGGTGTTGATGGTATAGTTTCCAAATAGACTTGCAACGGGGCCAGTTCTTGTCAAATAGCAACTACGAACTATGACTGAGGTCGGCCTTGGGCTTACCGTGAACGAACCACTGCATCTGGAATCCTTTCTCCTTATTACCAACCCCATCGGTGTGGAACAGCACTTGAAGAACCGAGCCCGTGGTGCTCCCTGAAGGTGGCATATCTTTTCCACAATAGCGCCCTATCCTCCGTGAGCCGTCATAGATCTGAAATCAAAGGGAAACCTCCGAATGAAAAGAAAGCTTCACATAGTTTGTCAGATGGAAAAAGTAAAGTCTACTCATATAGCAAAATCTGTTCCTTGTTTCAAGTTAAGGTTAAATCTGCTTAGGTGGGTCGAGTACCAGATGCTTAACATAGAAATGCAAAATAGAAAACTAGAGAGAGAGAGAGTCATGGGGATGATTTCTAAACCAAATAATTTGGAAATCCAAATATTCTTTGGTGTTATGTCAGCCTAGCAAATTCCCTCCAAAGTATAATTCAGACACAGAATAAGGAAACAGTAGGTTGAATGAGATGTGTTCACATACTGACACATAAGAGAAGCTCAATAAATGTACTGTAATTGTAAGATGTAAATTTTTAAATAAATACTAACTATAAAAAATCAGACATTTTAGAAAGCAATGAAAAAGGAAAATAAAAATTAAACACATTGAAGATAATCACTTTTGATATGTTGTTAATAGCAGAAGTGTAGCTTGCCAATATTTTTTTCATTTGTATGTGTGTATATACATACGTGTGTAAGTGTATATGTATGTATAATTTGGGCTACCATGTCATTGTGTTCCCTGTTTTATACTAAGCATGTCATTATATCATCCATGTAAATGTTTTTAATGGTAGCATAAGATATTATATACATTACAATTCTGTTGTTCAGTTAGGATATTTCCAATATTTTTGCCAAAATAAATATTTGCCTAATATTTAAAGTTCTCCCCAGGAAAGATTCCTATAAAGGAAATGAATCAAAGAGTATAATCTTTCTTGGCTCTTCATGTATATTATTTAATTTCTTACCAGAAAGTTTATCCCAATGTCCCCTCCCACCAGCAGTTTACAGAAATGCTTTGTGTGGTGGAACTTTGGCAACTGTGGCTATTACTTTTAAAGCTGGTGCTGACAGTGAAAATTTGTGTGTGTTTTTTATAATTGTCTTAATTTGTGTAATTTTGAGGTTGGTTTTTTTTTCATGTTTATTGCCCATTTGTAATTCTTCTCTTGGAACTTTTTTGCTAAGGCCCATTGTCCCATTGAGGTATTTATATATCCTACTAGAGGCCCGGTGCACAAAAATTTGTGCACTCAGGGGAAGGGGGGGTCCCTCAGCCCGGCCTGTGCCCTCTCGCAGTCTGGGACCCCTCGAGAGATAACGCCCTGCTGGCTTAGGCCTGCTCCTGGGTGGCAGAGGCAGGCCCAATCCCTAGGTGCAGCCCCTGGTCAGGCTGAGAGCAGTGCGCCGCCCCCTGTCATGCACAGAGCAGGGTGGATTGGGAGGTTGGGGCACCGCCCCCTGTCACACTCAGGGTAGAGTGGATGGGGAGGATGGGGGCACCACCACTGTCACACTCAGGGCAGGGCCGATGGGGAGGTTATGGCTCTACCCCATCACACACAGC